CCGGGCCCCCCCCCGGGCCCCCCGGGGGCCCCCCGGGGCCCCCCCGGGGCCCCCCGGGGGCCCCCCGGGGGGCCCCCAGGGGGCCCCCGGGGGCCCCCTGGGGACCCCCCGGGGGGCCCCCGGGGGGCCCCTAGAGGGCCCCACGGGGCCCCCAGGGGACCCCCTAGGGGGCCCCAGAAGCTGTGAGGGTCTAGGGGGGCCCACAGTGCTGCTGCTGGGCATGAATTTGTGTGGGGACAATGAAAGGCTCAAGCAGCTAATCCATTGCTGCTGCTGCTGCTGCTGTTGCAGCTGTTGCTGCTCTTGCTGCTGCTGGCGACCTTGTAGAGAAGATAAAACGGTGCTTCTTTGGCCCACTCTGCTGCCGCTGCTGCTGCTGCTGCTGCTGCTGTTCTCGCTGAGCAAGGCGTTTGTTATTTTCTATATCAAATAAATTGATTTAGTTCTTTATTTATTTTAAATATTTAAATTCATTTTTAATTCATTTGATTTCCGGGGATTCTTTCGTGCTGCTTTGGTCCTGGTGTACAGACACCGCAGCTCTGAGGGGCATGGGGTGTATAGGCAGCGGCAGCAGCACTTCTCTTTGTGCTGCTTTTGCTGCTGCTGCTCTTTTGAGAGAAGCAAGCCGGGGAAAGAGACCCGAGAAGCCCCCACTGCTGCTGCTGCTGCTGCTGCAGCTGCTGCTTCTGTTGCTGCTGCTGCTTCTGTCCGCCGCCGTGGCAGGGCCAAAGGCACGTTGCTGCAGCAGCAGCTGCTGATGCTGCTCCTGCAGACGCTGCTGCTGCTGCTGCTGCTGCTCTCGCTGAAGCAGCAGCAGCCGCTGCTGCTGTTGCTGCTGCTGCTGCTGCAAGCTCCTGAGGGCCAGCTGGCTGGGACTCAGCTGCGGGTCTGAAGAAGGGGCCCTCCGCCGCCACTGCAGCGGAGAGGGGCGGCAGAAGTGGGAAGCAGCAGCAGATCTCTGCTGCTGCAGCAGTTGCTGCTGCTGCTGCAGCTGCTGCAGCTGCTGCTGCTGCTGCTGCTGCTGCATTTGGCTCCCCAGCTCTACCCCGCTGTACGGGTAAGGCGAGGGAGGGCGCCGGCGACTGTGTTGCGCCGCTGCTGTTGCTGCTGCTGCTGCTTTTGCTGCAGCAGCAACAACGGGACTGTCGTTGGCCTCTAAAGAAAGCCGCGAGAGCCCCCGATACAGCTGCTGCCCATTAGCAGGCGCTCTTCCCGCTGCTGCTGCTGCTGCTGCTGCTGGGTGAGTTAGCTGCTGCTGCCCGTTGCTGCTGCTTCCATATTCATTTAGCCTTTTTTCGGAGTTTGAGTCTGGAGACTCAAAAGGGGAGGGGGAGGAGGCTGCAGCTGCTGCTGCACTTTGTCTCCGCCGGAGTTGCTGCTGCTGCTGCTGCTGCAGGTGCTGCTGCTGCTGCAGGTGCTGCTGGAGGCGCATGGGGTGCACTGCAGCAGCAGCACCAACTGCTGCTGCAGCAAAGGAGCTGCGGTTGATGCTGCGGTCTGCATTTGCTGCTGCTCCAGGGGGCACTGTTGCCCTGCGGGCGCCTCTGCTGCAGTTATGTATGCTGCCGTTAACTGCTGCTTTATAAGACAGCCGCTGCAGCGAGTCCACGCTGCTGCTGCTGCTGCTGCTGCTGCCCATGTTGCTGCTGCTGCTGCAGGGGTTGCTGCTGCCGGAGGACCGGGGGAGCGAAGGTGGTGCGGCGAGCGGCCTGGCGCAGTTGCGGGGGAGCAGCAAGTTGCTGCTGCTGCTGCTGCTGCTGCTGCTGCATGCAACTGGCTTCGCCAAAGAAGCCCAAGCTGCTTCTGTTTGTCTATTTGTCTTTTCTCTTTCCATCAAAGAAGCAGCAGAAAGACAAAAGGAAGAAATGGAGACGCAGTCGAGGCCCTGGGGAACTTCGGAGACAGACGCAAAACACAAAAACGCGACTTCCGCCTCCTGCTGCTCACCTAGGGTTTAGGGTTTAGGGTTTAGGGTTTAGGGTTTGGACAGCAGACGGCCGCCTGAAGCCCTGAAGACACTTTACCTAGACGCCGAGCTTTCTCTGCTTGTGCTTTCTACGCGCCAATGTGGTGCTAAACCGTAAACCCTAAACCCTAACCCTAAACCCTAAACCCTAAACCCTAAACCCTCAACCTACTGTAGGTGTGCGCCCTTCTGAAGAGCAGCAAATAGACAGAACGCCCGTCCGGCAGCGCCGACATTTTGCTGGTGTAATCGTCGCTGAAGCAGCACCACTGGTTCCCCACAACTGCGGCTCTGCGCACAGCAGCAGCAGCAGCAGCAGCAGCAGCAGCAGCAGGAACAGAGTGAGATTGTCGGGGCTTTAAGGGCTCGAACTGCAGCTGCTAGGGAGAAACAAATAATAAAAGAACGTAAAATTGATTTATTATTTTTATAAATCAAAAACTAAAATAAATAAAACTCAAAAAGGGGCAAAAGACGAATAAGGCACTTCTAACAAATCTGAAAAGCACCTTTAGCAGCAGCAGCAGCAGCAGCAGCAGCAGCAAAGACCTTAACGGACAAACTAAACAATAATAATAATTAATTGATTGACTTAATTAATTAAAATAAATAAATAAATAAATATTATTTTAATTAAAAGACTCACGCTGTGTAGTGGCCGCAGTCTACAGTGCCCGACTGGCAGACAATTCCCTCCAAGTAGAAAGTGGCGTTTGCAGTGGAAGGGTCTTCTGCAAATAAGTAATAAAAAAATAAATATTTATTTTAATTTAATTAATTATTTAAATCTAAGTAAATTTTAATTCCAATTTACTCATTTAAATCCATTTAAAAGGAGCAAAGGAAGCTAAACAGCATCTACAGGCAGTACCGCAGCCACATCCCACACAGCAGCAGCAGCAACAGCAGCAGCAGCAGCAACAGCAGCAGCAGCAGCAGCAGCAGCAGCGACCCGGGCCGGTAAACGCCAAGTCCTAAACCCCGAACTCCAAAGCCTAAACGCTAAACTCTAAACCCTAAATGAGGGTTTGGCTTGCCTGAGAGGGGGCAGTACTGGGACATGTGGAGGGCTCCGTCGGGGGGAAGTTCGAGTTTGGTGTCTACTCTGTCTAGACACCCCACGGCCGCGTCCCAGCGAAAGCGCTTTACGTTTATTACCAAATATTCGCAAGGCAGCCGATAGAGAAACTGCTGCACTTCTGCTTCTTGCCGCGACTTGCAAAAGGGACAGTCCAGCTCCCGGTGTTCCTGCAGCAGCAGCAGCAGCAGCAGCAGCAGCAGGAGCAGTTGATTTTGCGGCTTTGGAGCTGCGCGTTTCGGAGCTGCGCATGCAGCAAGGGAGCTGGTGCTCGGAGGAGTGCGTGGGCCGAGTGGCAGTTGCGAAGGAGGTGAATTACAAACTGATTGAAAACGAAACAAATGAACTAAATGGAGCAGCAGCAACTCGGAAAGACTGAAAGACTCACGCCCGCGCCGGAGTAGGACTTGACGATCATCTTCTCGAGGGTTTCGGCGCCGGGGGCCTCCTGCTGGCTGAACTCGACGGGGAGGTCGAGGAAGTTGTCGAACCTGTGGCGGACGTTTTTGCAAGTTTTGCAAGTTATAATTGTTGCATGTTGGCCGGCAAACAAGTCCGTGACGACGGACTGTTCGTCGGCAAGGCTGGCTTTCCAGAAGCGGTCGCTGCCGCGCTGCAGCTGCTCGCCGGGGCGGTCTTCAAGTTGAATGCGGCGCGCGGGGCGGCTAATTCGGTTGCAGTCCGCGGAAAGCCCGTCTAAAAAGGTTCGCAAGAACTCGTGCGCGTCGTTTTGCCGGTTGATCGCGAACTCGGGGTGCTCGGCGCGCAGAATGCTCAAAAGTGAACTGCAGTTGAGCCGCGGCGGGCTGCGCGCAGCCGCGAGCTGCCCATACACCTGACGCAGCAGCTTCACCCACGCCGCGCAAAGCCGCCCCCGAAAGCGCGAACGAAGATCTGGCGAGAATCTGCGGTTTGCGTCGTTGTGCAGAAACCAGAGACAGAACTGGCGCGCGGAAAACAGCACCTGCAGCACCGCGTTGCAGTAGCACGTGTTCCCGCTGTTCTCGATGCCCACCACCCGCCGTTCGCACTGCGCCAGCCCTTCCATTGCCCTTTCTTTTCAAATTAACCGCCAAAAGACCCAACCGGGCGCCAGAAGCGCTTCCGCCCCGCCGTGGCCCGGCGAGACCCTCCGCCGACCCGCCTCGGCTGCACGCGCAGCCTCCCCGATCTGCAGCTTTCCCCGCGCAGAATCCGGGAAGCACCCGCTCAGTGAGTCCAAAGTTGAATTTTCCTTTCTTTGCTTCCCTCGGGGCGGCAAAGCTCGTCCAAAATTGCATAAGATCCACTGAGCCCACATCAGTGCCACGCGGTGGGTGGTGCTGCTGCTCTTGAACAGGCGCCGCGACGCGCCCTAAATGGGAACCCAACGTCCTTCTTTCCAATTATGCAGCTGCCTTTCAACAAGTGGCTCCTTTTGAGTCCGTACGGAGTCCCAAAGAAGACAAAGATCTTCGCCCTTTTCCGCTGTCTGCAGTCGCGCGGGCTCTGGTGGGTGATGGCGGTGAGGCGCGCAGCCCAGCGATTCAGCTGCAGCCGAGGCGCATTCAAGGCCATCAAGCCGTTGAACAGAACGAGAACAAACAATTAATTCAAGCAAAAGAAAAAGTGATGGAGTTCTGCCGCCGTTTCAGCGTGATCAGCCACCGCCGAGCTCCTCATGCACTGGCAGGAGCGCCAGTGCAACTTGACCTGTCCAGCGCGGCGTGTCTCGTTCGTCCTTCGCCGGTTCTTTTCCAAAACAAACTTCAAATTCAAATACAGCGAACAAAGTGCTTCAAATTAATCTACTTATTGTCCACTTCCAGCGGTTTCAAGACTCAGGAAGGCGCTCGCCGCACCGTCGAGAGGGCTGCAGTTCCGATTCAGCTGCGCCGGCAGATCGCAAACTATTTCCCACAAATGCCCTTTCTGTGGCTTTAATCTGAATATTTTCCAAATTCTTTTTAGTTTTTCTTTCTTTAGAGCGAAAGATGACGCCAAAATCCGCAGAGTCCGGCGCCGCGCGCGCCGCTTGCTGCTGGTGCTGCGGTTTCTGCAGCGCAAGCCTTTCCAGCTTTCTCTGCAGCTGAAACGCAGCAAAGTGGAGCCGCCCGAAACTCTTTTTCTTTATTTTCAAAGAGATCTGATTCAACTTGAGATCAAACTAAAGGTTCTAACGGCTAGGCGTCCGCCGAATTAGCCGCGGCCAAAATCGTGAAATAACAAAAGTGGCGGCCGTTTTGAATTTCAGACTTTGCAAATTTGAGGTGTCTGTACACCGCGCAGGTACAAACTTGAATTTTCGCGAATAGCCACTTCAGTCATTTCTTTTGAGCTTCGCGAAAACGCCCTCTGCATTCAACTGCAGCAAATTATCTTATCTTCTTTTTCTCTTTTCTATTCTTTTCAATTTGCTTTTCTTTCCTTTCACTTTTGCTGCTAGAACTGCAACAGCAGTTCAAATCGAAGTCTTCGGAGTGCAGCAGAGAGCCTGCAGAGCAGCTATGCGGCGCTGCGCAGCCCGAGAGAGTTCAGCATTTCAAATTAAAATAAATTAAATTTATTTGTTTTTTATTTTATTTATTTTATTTTACTATTTAATTTATTTAATTATTGAATCAACTTGTTCAGATAAAACTCGAGAAGTCCAAAAGGGATTTGAAGAGACATCGGTTCTATGGTGTAGTGGTTAGCACTGCGGACTCTGAATCCGCCGACCTGGGTTCAAATCCCAGTAGGACCTCTCTTTTTATTTCTCGTTTTTTATTTTTAATTTAAATTGTTTCGTTCTTTTATTATTTTAAACCAAATAAAAACAGGTCTTCTTCAAATCAAATTCAAAAGACTTTTCCCCGAATGAAACTCGCAAGGATTCTTTTCAACTTCCATTCTGAACTCCTTTGCACCTCCCCAAAAGATTCTTTTCTTGAATTATTAAATTAATAATATTAATTAATTAATTAATTAATTATATTGTTTCCTTTATCTCTGTTCCAAAGGAAAGCTGGCCTCGAACTCAAACTGAGCATAAAAAGGACTTGTTTGAAATTCAATTTCGAAAGAAGTCTGAGCGCATTCGAAATAATTTCTCTTCATTTCTTTAATTTCTTTTATTTATTTTATTTTTATTTATTTATTTTATTTTATTTATTTAATTAATCTATTTGTTTACTCATAAATGGCCTTTTTGTTGTCATCCAAGACAAATGCAGTTTTGAGATTCAGGAAATGAATCCTTTTGAAATGTTTTTTTCAAATTAATTTAAAATGAGATTTTATTTTGACGTTATTTTGTCGCATTCTAATAAAAATGTTTCTTCTTTTTAGGAACAAAACGATTATTCTTTTGAACTGCTTTTAAAGACAACCCTAAACCCTAAACCCTAAACCCTAAACCCTAAACCTGGTCCAGACAAACACACACAGTAAAGTTCTTGAAGACTTCGTGATAACTCTGCACCGGCAGATTGCCACCTTAAACCCTAAACCCCAAACCCTAAACCCTAAACCCTAAACCTCAAAAGTGCTGAACCTTAGAAAGATGAAACGAAGCAAAGACGAAAATGCACAGCAGGGGCAATAGCCAACAATAGTTACAAAAATGAATAAATAAATAATAAGTAATAAATGAATTAATAAATAAATAGCAAATAAACAATAAATGATAGATATTTTTGTTTGCGGGAGCGTTTCATTAAAGCAGAAGAGCCCTAGAAGCTTGCCCTCGTCTGCCGCTGCTGCTGCTGCCGCTGCCGCTGCTGCTGCTGCTGCTGCTGCAGCTGCAGCATCTCTGCCTCTGTGAATCCTGCAGCCCAGGGGGCCGTTTGGCCCTCGAAAGCAGCAACTAAGCTGCGGATTTGCTGCAGTTTGGAATGAAATAAAAACCAGTTTTGAATTGTAATCCAAAGAAGTTTAATTTCCTCTTCAGTCCAGCCTTTTCCGCGAAGTCGAAATTGCAAAAAAATCAAAATGTCCCAAGGGGGCCCCCTTGCACTTTTCCAAGGGGGCCCCCTTGACAAATCCCAAGGGGGCCCCCTTGCCTTTGCCTCCGCAAACACTCGACTCGCAGGCACAAACAAACCACTGCCAGCTTCTCGCTGCAACGCACAAAACCCTAAACCCTAAACCCTAAACCCTAAACCCCAAACCCTAGACACTAAACCCTAAACCTTTAATTCTTAGCCCGGCGGGGTCTGCGGCACTTCTTTGTGAGAGGGAAGAGCGGCTTGATGAGACAGAGGCACGCATTCTAAACCCTAAACCCTAAACCCTAAACCCTAAACCCTCGTTATGATACGAAGCCCAGTGGCAACGAAGACACCGCTACGGAGCTGTAATAAATTAAATTAATAAATTTAATTAAATAAATAAATTAATTTAATTTAATTTAATTAATTTAATTTGATTTAATTTAATTTAATTCATATTTACTGTTTGTTTTCCTTAAGCACTTGTTCACTTAATAATATTTCATTTTCTCGTCAACTACGGCCAACAAATAAACCTGATTAATTAATCAATTTAATTAATTAATTAATTATTTTAATATTTATTATTTAATTAATTATTTATTCATTTATTTATTTATTTGCCTACGGGCGCTGCAGTGAGCGGGCTGTGGGTGTCCATGGCCTGGATGGCGAGTTCGAGATTTTGGAGTTTTGATTTAATTTCGAATTCCAACTTTTTTAATTTTTGTAAATTCAATGAATTAAACGTGGCAATTAAAGGAGCAGCAGCAGCAGCAGCAGCAGAGTTGCTGCTGCTTCCTCCGAAAAAAACGGAGCTTTTCTGCTGCTGCTGCTGCGGCGGCTGCTGCTGCTGGTCCTCTTCTGGATCTTCCGGCAGCGGGAGAGACAAATGGCTGCAGCAAACAGCAGCAGCAGCAAACAGCAGCAGCAGCACGCAGCAGCAGCAAACAGCAGCAGCGGCAGCAGCAAACAGCAGCAGCAGAACGCATGCATTTCCAACTGCACTTGTTCCTTCGCACTTTCACATGGGTCCTTTTCTTTTATTTTCTTCCATTTAACGATTTAAAAGACTTCAATTTTATTTATTTATTTATTTATTTATTTATTTATTTGCTTATTTATTAATTTGCAGATCAAGTTGCTGCGTGTCTCGGTGTGCGCGCCCCGCCGTGTACGTACACCGGAAGCGCGCGTTCGGCGAAAAGCTGAAAAGTGGAAAATCGGCGGAAAAGAAGACTTTTTTTGGTTTTTTTTTTTGAGAAAAGGACATAAAAATGAAAAAGAATGCAATTTAGCGTTTAAAATCTGGAGAAAGCTGGGAAAATGGCGGAGAAAGCTGGGAGTTCAAGGTGGCGACTCACTGGCTGCGGGCGTGGGCTATTGCTGCAGCAGCGTAGCGCAGGTACCCCCGCTTCGCCCGGTAAGCCCTAGCAGCAGCAAGACGGTTTCTCCTGCTGCTGCTGCTTTCGTAGTTTTGCTGCAGCAGCGAGACCTCCAGGGCCCCCGAAGCGAGGCCCCACCGCCGCACCACGCCCAGCGCTGCTGCTGCGCTCGCCCCAGGGCCCACCACCACGCGAAACGCCATCCTGCTGCTGCTGCTGCTGCTGCTGCGGCTGCTGCTGCTGGGCGGGGGGGTGGGCTGCTGCTGCTGCGGGGGTTGGGGATGGGGCTGGGGCGGCTGAGGCTGCGGCTCCTGTTGCTGCTGCTGCCGTCGTTGTTGGGATGCGGGGACTGCTGCTGCTGCGGGGGCAGCAGCAGCAGCAGCTGCTGCTGCCGCTGCTGCTGCTGCTGCTGCAGATGCAGCAGCAGCGGCTGCGCGCGTCTTGCAGCTGATGCTGCCGGGGCTTCTTGTGGCGCTTCTGCTTTCTTTTATTTACTTTCTTTTTTGCTTTTAATTTATTTTTAATTTTTAATTTAAATTTCTTTTCCTCTTTTCCCCGCTGCTGCTGCCCGGCGCGAAGAGAAATGGCCGCAGCAGCAGCAGCAGCTGGGGGTTGAGGAGAGATGGGAAATTAGAAATAAATGGGAAAATGGTTTAAATTAATCTAAATTAATTAAAAACAAACAAATAAATAAAAATAGAAATAAATAAATGCAAAGAAGCAGCAAAAGAACCAAATTCAAATCAAATTCCAACAAAGTTGAACAAGGAAGCCCAGAGGCGAGCTGCTGCTGCAGCGAGCTGCAGCAGCAAATCGCCTCCTTTTCTTCAATTTAAACCCACTTTGTTCATTTTCATTTCCTTTTTTTTTGTATTTTTATATCTTAGTTCATTTTAATTGAAATATAATCCAAAAACTCCAAAAAGACGCAAAATGGGGCCCCGGGGGCCCCAAATTCCCTAGCTGGGGGGGCCCCTGGGGGCCCCCCCAGGCCATGTGTGCCTCAGCAGCAGCAAACTTGCCTTTTGATTTAAATGAATACATTAAACCGTTTTAAAACCCTAAACCCTAGCAACAGACGCAAACCCTAAACCCTAGAAACAGCAGCAGACCCCAAACCCTCGTTAAAGCCTAGGGTCTACAGCAAGGGGGTCCAGCCAACGTAAGCCCAAACCCTCTGCAGCAGC